GAATATTAGGATCACCAGACAGACCTGCTGGGAGTCTATAGCAAATAAGGGCCTGTGCTGTGTTCTAACAGAAGCGCCAACTGATTGTATAATACTTGATTGAGGTCAGCTTACAAGTTTTCTTGGTCCAGTATGGGGGAAATTTTGGGTAGAAAAAACTCTGCAGGCCCCGTCTTTCTTCACATCTAGCCCGTTCACTCATTAACATTCCTGCCTGGGCCCTGAGGATATCTAAGTTTTCTGAGCCCTCCTATGCAAAGTGCTTGACCTACAATAGGGGATTCCTTGAGATGAAACCCTGACACCATACAAAATCACAAATATGTGCATTTTTCTGAGGAGCAAGTCTTAGCTTTCATCAACTACTCAAAGGAGTGTCTGATACTTGGGTTGGAATCCTGGCTGCTGTTTACTAGCTGTGTGACCTTGAGCATGTCACCTAACCTGTCTATGCTTCCATTTCCTTATCTTTGAGATAGGGATGGTTATTCATTTATGTATTTACTTATTTATTCAGAAACAGAGTCTCACTCTATCATCCATATCATCCAGGCTGGAGTGCAGTGGCACAATCATAGCTCACTGCAGCCTCAAACTCCTGGGCTCAGGTGATCTTCCCATCTCAGTCTCCCAAATAACTGGAACTACAGGCACATGCCACCATGCCAAGCTAATCTTTTAATTTTTAGTTAAAAAAAAAAAAGGGTCACACTACATTGCCCAGGTGGCATTCGAACTTCTAACCTCAAGCAATCATCCTGCCTTAGCCTCTCAAACAGTGATGTTAAATGAGCTAGTTATATGTAGAGGGCTTTGAATGACCAACTTTATGTAAGTGTTGGCTATCATTATTATAGAGGACATAGACCACAGAGGGGATGGGAAGCCTGTGTCTAAGGGAAGACCAGTGTAGAGAGGAGAGTGAGTATACCTTTGTTAAAACCAGCCCATCTTCAGGATGTAGCCTGCACAACCTTCAGAGCTTGCTTATTCAGCAAAGGGTCCTGGCATAAACCTCACACTGGAAATGCGCAGCGAGGCTGTGCTGCCAGAAATGTGCTAGCTGCTAGGTTATCAGTGTACCTCCTGTTCTAAGACAGACAAGGATCTGAAGGTGGCAGTAAGAGGGGGCCTGGAGTCATAATCTTGGAGACCACAATTCTGCCCTAGAAACCAATGTCCCCTAAGTTCTGGGCTCTAGTCGCCAAGCTGGCCTGGAGCAGGAGGTATAGCAGAATCAGACAGCAGAAACTGGAAATCTTCTCCACTTTCTAGCTGAGTGTTCTTGGGCAACTTACTAAACCTCCCTAAGCCATCATTTCCTCTTCTGTCAAACTGAGCAATAATGTATGCACTATGGTCAAATAATTAATGTATGCAAAGCACTTAGCAATTACATAGTGAGTGCTCAATAAACAGAGCCAATACTATGGTAACACTGCAGTACTAAGATCAGGCTGACAGGGAGCTGAGTGGCAACTGATCAGATGGGGAATCCTAGAAGAACAAGTTGAAGGACTAGTACAGTGATGACACATTTGGTCCATTGTGCAATTTTTTGCTTCGGCTTGCCTCAAAGCTTGGGATCACAGATTTCTTAGGGCTCTTTGGGCTTCTTAGGAACCAGGAGGGAGGAAAATAAAGATCGGAATATTCTTTCAAAACCATTTCCTCCCTCTCCACCCTAATATTCCTATGCAGAGAACTTGTGACACTGCTTATCTTAACAGAAATCCAATCAAACTAGCCTAAGGACACAGAACTTTCTCACAGGCCTAGAGAAAGGGTGTGATCAAGGCCACAAGCCCTCATCTTTTCTGCTTCCAAGGTATCCCTGTTTCTTTTCATTCTGCAGACCTACTTTCTTTTCTTTATGATGTACATGATAAAAAATGGTTGACCCAGACAGCACTGCATAATTTCCTGGCTTAAATACAGCAGACTAGAGGTGCCCTATTCTCCAATTCAAATTCCTAGAAGAGGGAATTTATTGGCCCGGCTCCTATCACACACCTGCCCCTGATACTCTCAACCAAATGTACATATATATGGGATGGGAGGATTAAACAGATTGAGTAGTACAGACATATAATTTCAAACAATTTGCAGAGGAAGAAAACCAAATGGCTAACAAACACTTGAAAAGATACTCATCTTCACTAATATTCAAAGATATGCAAATTAGTACAACAATGTAAGGTACTAATTTTTTTTGGACTATCAGATTGGCAACAATGAAAAACAAAGGTAATTGAAGGAAACTTGCTAAGAGAAGAAGGTGATATGATTTTTCTGGTGTACTATTGGGCATTATGTTTTAATATTTTAAATGTATATAAGCTTTAACCCAGTTATTTTGCTTACACGAATTTATCCTAAGGAAATAATCAGAACATGCACAGGCATATATCTACATATATGTTTATTGCCGTATTTTAGTATTTAAGAAAAACCTAGAACATCATACATGCCTTTCAGTGGAGGGTAGAGGTTATGGTACAAAATAATACTGAGAGACCATTATGAAAATTATAAAGAACAAGACAGATCGGTATGTAAGAAGTATATGACAAACTGTAGGGGGAAAAAAAAAAAGCCAGGCACGGTGATTAATGCCTGTAATCCCAGCACTTTGGGAGACAGAGGTAAGTGGATCACTTGAGGTCAGGAGTTTGAGACCAGCCTGGGTAATATGGTGAAACTCTGTTGCTACTAAAAATACAAAAATTAGCCAGGCGTGGTGGCACACACCTGTAGTCCCAGCTACTTGGGAGGCTGAGGCACAAGAATCATTTGAACCCAAGAGGCAGAGATTGCAGTGAGCCAAGATCATGCTACTGCACTCCCACCTGAGTAACAGAGCAAGACTCTATCTCAGAAAAAAAAAAAAAAGCAAGGCACAGAAAAGAGTAGATAATATGACCCCATTTTTGTTAACATATAGAGTACATATTATGTAGTGTACATAGTATATTTGGAGTACATACATATATGTATACACACACATATATATTTGTGTGTGTGTAATATGTATCTGAAAGAATACATATTAGATCCTTTTGTAGTTCATGAGCAAGATGATTGGGTGATCCCGCACATGTGTAAGATATGCTACCCTCAAACCTTGTTACAACATTGGCATATTACCCATCTGATATGAAAAAAACATATGAAACTAATAATTATGACCTCTGGGAATGGAATTATGGGAACTTTTCACTTTCCACTTTATCCCTTTTCATATTGTTGAATTTTTTTTTAACATGAATTACTTTTATAATCAGAAGAAAAGCAGTAAGAAATTCAATTTTGGGGGGGAAAAAGAGTACAGATTTCATATGTGAAAGGAAAATATCGACTATTTTAAAATTAAAGAAGGAAAACAAAAAATCCAATATTGTCCCAGTAACAATCAGGCATAGCAGGTGGCAATAAAGTCTGCCCCTGCCCAGGAACTGGGCTTATTAGGAGGAGCTCTCTAGGTTGTACAAGAGAAAAGTCAACTTCTCCTAGCACCACAGAGTACATAGGGCTATCCTTTTTTTTTCTCACTCTATTACCCAGGCTAGAGTGCAGTGGCATGATCATAGCTCACTGCAACCTTGAATTCCTGGGCTGAAACAATCCTCCTGCTTCAACTTTCCATGTAGCTGGAAGTAGGATGCGTTCCACCATGCCCAGCTAATTTTTAAAACTTATTTGTAGAGATGGGGGAGTGTCTCACTACCTTGCTCAGGCTGGTCTCTAAATCCTAACCTGAAGTGATCCTCCTGCCTCAGCCTCCCAATGTGCTGAGAGTACAGGCATGAGCCACTACGCCTGGCCTAAGGACCATCCTATTTGAAGAATTTGGCTTACCTACAACCCAACGGCCTTTCTCTTCTACTATAAATGAATTAATGAACTTAATTAAATCGAATTTAACTCTTCAGCCAAGGCCAAAAATAATATATTTTTACATTTATATATGAAAAGAACAGACAGGTAAATGATGAGAAATGAGGTATGCAACCGAGTGAGGGTTTGGACATAGGAAGACCTAGATGCCCAGCTGAGAAACTGGAGGTGGCCTAGGGTAATTCCAGAAACATATTTACTTGCTATCAAACATGGGTTTGTATGGGTGCTCAGATTTTTTTCTTTCTTTCTTTCTTTGTTTTTTTTTTTTTTTTTTTTTTTTTTCCTGAGATGGAGTCTCACTCTGTCACCCCGGCCAGAGTGCAGTCGTGCCATCTTGGCTCACTGCAACCTCTGCCTCCTGGGTTCCAGCAATTCGTCTGCCTCAGCCTCCTGGGTAGCTGGGACTATAGGCGTGCACCACAACACCTGGTTAATTTTTGTATTTTTAGTAGAGACAGGGTTTCACCATGTTGGCTAGGTTGGTCTCGAACTCCTGACCTCGTGATCCACCCGCCTCCCCATCCTGCCCCCCACTGCCAAAGTGCTGGGATTACAGGCATAAGCCTCCACACCCAGCCAGATGCTCAAATTTTTAAAAGAAACTTGGGTAGGTTGAGAAATTAAGATCCTCACCAGGATAATTGTTATTTTTCTAGGTGTTTCCCTTTGGATCTTTCCTTTCTTCATAGGAACATGCTAAACATTCAATGCCACAATGGATTTCAATGGGGAAAAATTAATCTTGCTTTGTAGACAACTTTACAGGAATGCCTCAGTTTCATACACTGCAGGATAGCTGTATTAATTTGGCGTAGACAGAAATTTCAATTCACATAGTTTTTTTTCTTTATTTGCAGCAGTTCACCAATAATGCATTTTAGAGCATTGCTCACCCTCAGCATTAGAACTGAGTGAATCATCTGTTGAAATGGAGGCATCTATTCACCACATTACTTTTTCAAGCCTCTAACACCTTGACAGGCAAACCTCAAAGGAAGGTCTGCTTTCCTCTTCCTTTAGAATTCCCCCCTAAGCAAGAAGCATTTGCTGAATGCCCAGCTGGGGACTTCAACATTGTTAGCACATGTTAGCAGCCTTCCAAAAATGTTTACAGTAATGGTAATATTGGTAATAATACACCATTGGACTTATTGCAAAGACAATTTTTTCAATGTTTGTTCATATCAAACCTGCCAAATTGTTGCTATTAGAGTTGGTCATTCCTTACATTATGAGATTCCTAAAATGAAAATAGCAGTAATAGATCCTGAGAGCTGTGAGATCATTTTGTTCAGGTTACATATTAAGGACACCAGTCTTTGGAAGATTAGGAACGTTGTCTATAGTTTCATGACTATGAAATGGCAGATTTTTTTTTCTCCAAACCCCATGCTTTTTTTTTTTTTTTTTTTTTTTTTATCACAACCGTGCATGCCTCTCTCAGCCCCATATCTGCCCCAGAGATGTCAAACATTCCCTCCTCCCTACCCATATGCTGCCTTGGAGACTCTGCCCCACTCCTGACTTGGAAGGGAGAGTACTACCTGCCATGTGACTGTGCCCCACCAGTCTCAGTTACTGACCTCAGAGTAGACATCTGACTCAAGCTGGGTTGATCGAATTCTCTCCCAGGAATTTGGAATAGGGACAAAGAGGCTGAGTCATTTAGCTGTGTGGAGCCAAGCTGCAAGGTCATGCCCAGCTGGCCTGCCATAGCAGGCCGAAACCTCATGCTAGCCACAGTGAAGGGAAGCTGAGAAACCATGAGTCAGCAGAAAAAAACTCGCATGCAAACAAAAGAGCACAAAGATGGGGCAGACCAACACCCAGAGTCAAACAGAGAGGCCATGTACCTCGAAAGGCAGAGGAGAGAGAGAGAGAAATAAAATCTGCATAATCCCCTTCTTGGTCTTATAATGCCCAGCAGCTGTATCTCCAGCGCTGGCTTATTGTGACCCCATAATGACCTCTGCCTTTCAATCAACCCTCTTTTTATTTGAGTTAGTGGAATTCTGTTCCTTGCATGCAAATTCTTCCTAAGACACTTCACAATTCATATTGGATATATTTTGGGGTAGAAAAACTATTCTGCTCTTTATGACGATTATGGAAATTGAGGTTTTATCTCAAAACCCACAACAGGCTGAGCAGCTCTCTGCATTCTCTCCACTAATTATCCAGACTCCGAAGACTGAGCTTTCAAGGTGAGTGGTTTTCAGAACTTCAAATGGGAGCCAGCCCCATTCTGGGTCTCTTTCCCCAAGGATATCTTAGACATACTCAGTTCAGGAAGAGAGATCTTATTGTAGTATGTAGTTGCCACCTTGGGAACATGTCAGGACTTCCTAAAGTCTTTCTGCTTAAAGTTCCCAAGAAAGTATGGAGCCTGATTTCTCATAAAGCCACTTTTCCTTTAAAGGTACTTGTGGAATCTCTACAGGCCCAAGGTTGACATGACCATATCCGTGAAAAGCTCAGGTACTATTTATGTGCTAATCTATTTAGAAAACAGAAATACTTTATTTTAAAAATTCTACTTACCTTTCTTGCCAGGAGCGGTGGCTCACGCCTCTCAGGGAGGCAGAGGCGGGAGGATAGCTTAAGCCCAGGAGTTCAAGACCTGCCTGGGCAATATAGCAAGACCCCATTCTCCACAAAAAGGAAGGAAAAAAAAAGACAAAAAAAAAGAGCGCAAAAATTCTACTTACCTTTCTCAAATTATTAGAGTTAATCCTAGTATAAAACAGTGGAGAAATGGTTGAGTAAATTAGAGTGCATCAGCTGGTGGAATACTATGCAGATGTTAAAAGGGATAACTAACAAGATTAAACAACATGAAAAGACGTTTTTGATTCAATGAATGAGGAAAAAGGCAGAATACAAAATTGTAAGTATCAACCTTGTAAGTATCAACCATGTGAAAATGTGTTTACATAAGGACATTTTTCTTGGTAGTCTTTTTTTTTTTTTTCCCCCAGACAGAGTTTCGCTCTTGTTGCCCAGGCTGGAGGCTGGAGTGCAACGGTGTGATCTCCGCTCACCGCAACCTCCACCTCCTGGGGTTCAAGCGATTCTCCTGCTGTAGGCTCCCGAGTAGCTGGGATTACAGGCATGCGCTACCACACCCAGCTAATTTTGTATTTTTAGTAGAGACAGGGTTTCTCCATTTGGTCAGGCTGGTCTCAAACTCCCGACCTCAGGTGATCTGCCCGCCTCAGCCTCCCAAAGTGCTGGGATTACAGGTGTAAGCCACCACGCCCAGCCTCTTGGCAGTCTTTAACAAGGTAATTGAGGTTGCCACAACCATAAATCTTGGTACCTAAGATAAAATCTATTGAGAATTTCTGCCTTAGAGGATTTTGGCTAAGGTAATGTCACTGTCCTAGTTCAGTTCCAGAATTTGTTCCTATATTGTCCAGACTCTGTGCCTTGTGCCGATCTACTTCTGTGCTAGTCCATAGCACTCCCAACTGATGGGACCCACTAGTGATAGAGTTCTCAGTGTCTCTGTCTGTCTCAGTCTGTCTGTAGTTACTTAAAGTCTGCTATGGAGATCTTTTGCTTTGCACCACACAAATGTTAAAACTACATTTAAATTGCTTTCATTTTTTTCCGCCTACTCTTTTCCAAATCTGTGTCAAGGTGGAGATATGACTGTCCTTCAGTGTGCTAATAATGTCTGCAAAGTTTCTGGGAATACCTGCCAAAGCCAAGGTGAGAGGGAGACACCTTGAATCTCTCCTTGCATTGGTGGGAAAAAAATAATTTATAGATTGAGTGCCTCCTGCAAGCCTTTTTGTTGTTGTTGCTGTTGTTACAGAAAAATCCTTTTATGACTGTTTTCTGTTCCAATCATGAACAGAAGTCTCCTTGCAAACACTGGCCTCCTGCTGCTTTTCAAGGGTTTGGTGGCCTAATCATTTTGCGCCTGCCCTAGCCTAGACATTTTTTATGTTTGTGGCTTCTTATCGTCTCTTAAAAGCCCTTCTTCCCATATCAAGGGAATTTCTACATTTTGAGTTCTGTTTTTCAAGGTAAAACTAGAACTCTCTATTCTAGTCTTATTTGCGGCCAAGGTACAAGCATGTGACCTAGTTTCTGCAATCAGATGTAGCCATGCAACACTGAATGCAGAAGATAAAACCATGAGAAAGCAGGTGTCATGCAGAATCTGTTTTCTGGTGAAGCTATGGAGCTTGCCAGTGGCACAGAAATAGCCCAGCGCCAGTGTTGGTACCCCCAGCAGAGAGTTAGTGCAGCCACAGTGCCAACGCCAGCGGCATTCTCTTCTATAACAGTCCAGCAGTATGATTTGGATATAACTTCCTGCCAGGTAACCCATTACATGATTCTCTGGCCCTTGCAGACAGTCTATGTACTATTTAATACCCTTTAATACTTTTATTTTATTTTATTTTATTTATTTATTTTGAGACGGAGTCTCACTCTGTAACCCAGGTTGGAGTACAGTAGTGCAATGTCAGCTCACTGCAGCTTCTGCCTCTCTGATGGAAGTGATTCTCCTGCCTCAGCCTCCTGAGTAGCTAGGACTACAGGCACAAGACACCACACCCAGCTAACTTTTTGTATTTGTAGTAGAGATGGGGTTTCGCTATGTTGACCAGTCTGGTCTCGAACTCCTGACCTTAGGTGATCCATCCACCTCGGCCTCCCAAAGTGCTGGGATTACAGGCGTGAGCCACCACGCCCAGTTCATTTTATTTTTAAACTAGTAAGAGTGGAGATTCTGTTGTTTGCAACCAAAAATCTTGAACAATATACCTGCATTCATGATTTTACATTAGGCTGAAAGACTTAAAAGTGGGCCAGGCACAGTGATTCATGCCTGTAATCTCAGCACTTTGGGAGGCCAAGGTGGGAGGATCACCTGAGGTCAGGAGTTCAAGAGCAGCCTGGCCAACATGGTGAAACCCCGTCTCCACAAAAATACCAAAAAATTAGCCGGACATGATGGCGGGTGCCTGTAATCCCAGCTATTCTGGAGGCTGAGGTGGGAGAATCGCTTGAACCCAGGAGGCAGAGGTTGCAGTGAGCCAAGATTGCGCCATTGCATTCCAGCCTGGGTGACAGAGCAAGACTCCATCTCGAGAAAAAAAAAAAGTGATTTATTTTTCTCATTCATCATGTTTCCCCAGCCTGTGGATATAAATTTGGTCACTTTTCTTTTCTTTTTCTTTTTCTTTTTTTTGAGATGGAGTTCTGCTCTTGTTGCCCAGGCTGGAGTGCAGTGGCACTATCTCGGCTCACTGCAACCTCCACCTCCCGGGTTCAAGTGATTCTCCTGCCTCAGCCTTCTGAGTAGCTGGGATTACAGATACCCATCACCATGCCCAGCTAGTTTTTTGTATTTTTAGTAGAGACGGGTTTCACCATGTTAGCCAGGCTGGTCTCAAACTCCTGACCTCAGGTGATCCACCTGCCTTGACCTCCCAAAGTGCTGGGATTACAGGCGTGAGCCACCGTCCCTGGCCAATTTGGTCACATTAATGACAAATCCTAATTTTTACTGACTCTTGTTTCAACCTACATAATGCAGGTTTTCTGGCCTCACCCGATCTCTCCCAGAATCCCCAAGGATGATCTGGTATGTGCTCACAAACAGTTCCCTCATATTCCTCTCTTTTGCCTCCTATGTTGTTGGCTGTGGCCCAAGAAGCCATTTGCAGGTCCATACCTATGTCAGTACCAAGCATTACGAGACTGATGCCCATGATAAATGTGTGCTGCCTCCTAATGCTTTCACTCCATGTCACCCCTCCACCCAGCACCACCATGTAGGCCGATTTGCCTTGCAGATGTCTCTCATGAAACTGCTTCCTTTAACCACTGTATGAAGCCGTTTTGTCTCTAGGGCTCAGAAGTGTGTACTGGGAATGAGCTAAGGAATCAAATAGGGTGCTATCTTTTTTGTTTATTATTATTATTATTTGGAGACAGAGTCTTGCTTTGTCGCCCAGGGGGGAGTGCAGTGGCGTCATCTCAGCTCACTGCAAGCTCCGCCTCCCGGGTTCACGCCATTCTCCCGCCTCAGCCTCCGGAGTAGCTGGGACTAGAAGAGCCCACCACCACGCCCGCCCAGCTAATTTTTGTTTTTATATTTTTAGTAGAGACGGGGTTTCACCGTGTTAGTCAGGATGGTCTCTATCTCCTGACCTCGTAATCCGCCCGCCTTGGCCTCCCAAAGTGCTGGGATTACAGGCGTGAGCCACTGCGCCGGCCTTTTTTTTTTTTTTTCTTTTTTCTTTCTTTCTTCTTTTTTTTTGAGACGGAGTCTCGCTCTGTCACCCAGGCTGGAGTGCAGTGGCGCAATCTCGGCTCACTGCAAGCTCCGCCTCCCGGGTTCCCGCCATTCTCCCGCCTCAGCCTCCCGAGTAGCTTGGACTACAGGAGCCCGGCACCCAACCCAGCTAAATTTTTTGTATTTTTAGTAGAGACGGAGTTATACCGTGTTAGCCAGGAGGGTCTCCATCTGCTGACCTCGTGATCCACCCGCCTCGGCCTTCCAAAGTGCTGGGATTACAGGCGTGAGCCACTGCGCCCGGCTCTTTTTTGTTTCTTTATTCTTTTTCCAATTCACAGGCTCCTCTCTCTTCCCTCAGGCAAGTCATGTCATACAAATTGACATCTGCAAATAGATATCACTGGCTGTTCCTAGTCATCGTTCAAGCCAGTCGGAACAGTTTAGGATCAAGCTGGTGGACTTCTGAAGCATTATTTTTATTTTTCAATGTTTCACAGATGTCGTTATAATGGTATTTTTCAACAACTAGAAAAGTATGGCCTAAAACAGTCAACTTGTCCTATAAAATTTATGCTGACACAGCGTGCCTTTGCCAGAATACTTTCTTACACATGTCTTCTTCCGCTACACCTCAGAGTATTTGTCTATTAACAGAACTTATTTGGCAAGTAGATTTAGAATGTCAGCACAAGCACTGAAGGAAAATGGAACAAATTAGGGAATTTCTCAGCAGAACCACTGCCAGCTTTCTCTGGGCACTTGTACCAGTGTTTATTTTAATGACTTCAATCAGGATATTTTCCTCACCTTAATGCAGAAGCTCAAGATTTTAGAGATCAGCAGAGGAGTCAGTGTATTTTACTCTTGCTTTGCAGAAGTTATTGGGTGGAGTTTTTCTGTGAGTAAATGGAGCAGTAAAAATCCCTCTTTACCGCCACTTTCCACCCCAGCTTTGTCATTTGGCATCTGTCCACCAGAATTTATTTTAACAATTCCAACTTATGGTTCATACGAGATCATAAAGCAATATTATGTCCACGGATTGAGTTCTGCATATAGCATTAAAAAATCTCTTATCTAGAAAAATTACCAAAAATGCCTCAGAATTCTGTAGGTACAAGATTTTCTTTTTTTTTTTTTTTTTTTTTGGTTTGGTTTTATGATGTTTTTTGGAAACATGGTTTGCCCCTTGTATAGTGAACCCTTGGACATTTTTCAAAATTCATCAAAGGACAAAGAAAGGAAAAACTGGTGAATGTGACAGAGGCACCCAGCAGTGTTCTGAGGGACAGATTTCACAAGCTGCCCAAATGGCCCAAAAGAATTTACAGGGAAGGCAGGTGCGCCCTTTAAGTTTGATTCCAAGTTAAAGATACATTCTGGGGAGTTTTGACGGTGGAAAAGGTATCTGAGGATCTCAGTTTACTCTTTGCATCTCTAGCTGAACCTTAGATGAGAAAAGAGACAAATCTTGAGGATGTGGTAGGAAGGCAAGCTACATGAGGAGGAATAGCAGATGTGGAGGAGAAACAAGACTCAGGATGTACTTGGAAGATAGCTGGCTTTCAGGGAGATGGTTCCTTCATCACTGCCTGTTTCCATCACTGTCATGCCGTGTCTACCCTCTCTTGCATTTTCTCACAACCAGTTTTACAAAACATCCACAGGGAACTGACACAGCGTGTCTTTGCCAGCACACCTTCTTACGCATGTCTTCCTCCCCTACACCCCAGAGTTTCATGTACATAAAAACATGGAACTAAGCACCATGTTTTTATGTATATGAAATCGATTGTCAGATCATTTAGCAGTGGTTATATTGAAAGTGAAGAGTGAAAAAAAGAGGCAGTGAGGGAAAAATATATTGAATTTATCCAATCATCCTGGTAGGATATAAGAAGTCTCATGGTATAGGTATAGTCAATGTGAAACCTTAAAAACGCATTGATTATAAAGCTCAAGCAGTTGTGAGATAAGATGACTTTGGTTTATGGGCATAAAATAAATTTGAGTCTGGAGCCTATGAAAGAATTTTCCCAGATATTGTGCTTGCTTTTTCATTTTTCTCATTTTAATCAATAGAATGTAAGGATAAAGTACAAAATGTATGGAAAGACTAAAACTTTCCTGTGTCCTCCTGATTATAAAAAGGTGAGTGAATCATTTGCTTAAACACCAACCCAGTCATTTTATCTCCTGTGTCCTTGAATGAGAAGCTGGGCTGGGCGCCCCTCCAGCTGGTAAGAGGATCTTCGAGTCGCATGATAGAAGGAGGAAGTCTGAACCTGCAGCTCTCTCTTTCTCTTACCTCTGGTTTCTGGCAGGCTTTCTACTCAGAGACCATCCTCTGTCATGATTCTGCGGACAAATTTCCAGTGCAGGTCCCCTTTGGCCCGTTACTGTTCTGATCAGAACCCTGAGCCTGTGTGGAGATGCCTGTAAGGACAGGCAGGTCTGGCTCATTACAAAGAAACAGGATCTTTAGGCTTCCTGGGAATGGTTCACACAGTTGGGTGGGCTCTGAGATCAAGGTGTCTGCATGATTCCTGGAAAGAGATGCAGAGTAGGCATCCCTAACCTGGGCCAGGTGCCTCAAATCATAAGATTTTAGAACTGTGCGCTCTGGTTCTTGAGAAGAACCAGGAGAGGGAGAAAGGTTGCAGTGATGCACATCAACACCTCCACTAGGGAAACACATGAATCTGCCTGTCCTTAGGACAGGGCTTAGCTGGGCCACCTGCACAAAAGAAGTTCAGCAACATGGATAGTGGAAATCAGACAAGCAGCCCTGCATGACAGGTGTCCCAGGCTCTCCATCAGAAGCTGCAAAAGTCCTAATCACTTTCCCCACAAAGAGGACATGGAAGTCCTCCTTTTTTTTTTTTTTCCCCCTTCAAATTATTCTTTCTTTTTTGAGACACGGTCTCACTCTGTGGCCCGCCCAGGCTAGAGTGCAGTGGTGCAATCATGGCTCACTGTAGCCTTGACCTCCTGGACTCAGGTGATCCTCCCACCTCAGCCTCCTGAGTGGCTGGGACTATAGGTGTGCATCACCATGCCCAGCTAATTTTTTTGTATTTTTTAGTAGGAATGAGGTTTCGCCATGTTGCCCAGGCTGGTCTCAAACTTCTGGGCTCAAGTGATCCACCCACCTCCTCCTCCCAAACTACTGCCTGGATTACAGGTGTGAGCCACCATGCCTTTTCTTTTTTGACTTTTTTTTTTTTTTTTTTTGAGATAGGGTCTCACTCTGTTGCCCAGGCTAGACTGCAGCGGCTTGATTTCAGCTCACTGCAGCCTCAGCCTCCTGGGTCTAAGTGATCCTCCCACCTCAGCGGCCTGTTATCTAGGACCATAGGTGTGTGCCACCATAGGTGTGTGCCACCATGCCCGGCTAATTTATTTTTATTTTTTTGTAGAGACAGGGGTCTCCTTATGTTGCCCAGGTTGGTCTCACACTCCTCAGCTCAAGCGATCATCCCACTTTGGCCTCCCAAAGTGCTAGGATTTCAAGGCTGTGCCCATTGCACCTGGCCGAAGTCCTTTCTACTTCAGATTTCCATCATGGGTAACTGTGAAATCAGAAAGAAATTGAAATGAAGAAAACTCTGTGGCTTCCTTGGTGAAGTAAACCAGTTTGGGCTAGAGAGAGGTGAGCTGCCAGTGTCACAGTAGGAACAATACTTCCTGTATCCTCTTCTGAATCATTGTGTAATAGGCTTCTGACATGTAGAAAGCCCTGAAGAAACATAGCAGGGAAGGAAGTGAATGAGCCAACTGCACTGGCTCAGTGCCCGAGGAACACCCTGCTTCAAGGATAAAATTGCACCTCTTGTGCCAACAGTTCAGGCAAGGGAACCTAGACAAATAATGCTTGGAATTCAACAGAAGAACAAGCCAAAAGAGGTCTAGGCATTTTATAAAATGACTTCTAAGATTGCTCTTTTGCTTGGCTTGTTCGCCTGCTTGCTTTAGTTCAGGTGATGACAATAGAGAGTAAATAACCCAACTCCTTATTCTAAGTAGCATCTGTTTAAATGACACAGAGGGATGTCATCCAGGTAAAAGGGTGTGGAACCCTGCTACCTCATACTTTCCTCCTGGCTAGATGAAAAGCCAAGGGCTGCTATAAAAAGTAATTTGTGTCCAGCTCTTCGGGGAGGGAAGTATTCTCATACTGAAAATGTCATACTCCAAATTTTAACCTAGTGCTGTTTCCTGCTCTTGCTCATAAAGTGATTCACATGACTTTTAGTAGCTTTAGCTTCTTCAGAATGAAGGAACAAACAACCAGTGATCACCTGATAGAATTACACGACATGGTTTATTTTGGAGAAAAGAGA